GAAACCGCGTGAGGGGGTCGGAGACCAGGTGGAGCGCGATATCGGCGTGGCCGTGCTTGTGAAGGTAGCCCACCAACGCCTGCCCGGGCATCGCGCCTTTTCGGATGATTTGAAGCACATCACGGTAGGCCTGCTGCTGGAGTTTCATCTTGAAATCTAACTCCACCAACTCCTGCTCCAGCAGAACCACCTTCCCGCCACGGGTGAGATGCCAGATCTTATTCCCCACCGCCTTGCAAAGATACACCGTCTGGCGTAAGGAGTTAATCGTACTCGTCTCGCCGGTGCCGATGTTGAGGTACTTCAGATGGTTGGAAGTGGTGAAGAAGAGAACGTCGCGGGTTTCATCGAAGACGGCGGATTTCACCCGCACCGAGGGCTCCACCACGGTCGTAATAAGCTTCAGGTTATTCGTCATCACCACGATGGAGTTGCTGCTGAGGAGGGCGACCTTGCGGAAGTTTTTATTCCACACCACATGCCGCACCTCGCTGACGGTGGCCTCGGCGACGTGCGTGTGTTGCGCCATATGATATAAAAGGACTCGATTCTCGCTTTGGCAGAGAATGGACCCCGTCAAGCCGGGGAAGACCCGGTGGACGTGAAAGGTGGTATCCAAGACTTTTTCTTGTTTCGTCTGAACGTTGAAGAGGCAAAGTTTGCCCCTTCGGTCGGCGTAAGCGAGCTTATTGGGTCCGACAAACACGGAGCCCATCACATCCTGGTGCCGAAAGACATTCCCTTCGCTCACGATGCCCGAGTTGGAGACGAAAAAAGTTTCCATAAAGCCGTAGTTGTCGCTTCGGTTTTTGAACCACAACGCCAACTGTTTATCCGCCGGGTTGATCGAGATCGTCCGCGGCAGATGAAGCCGAGGGGGCAAATAAACCGAATTGCAGGTGCCGCTCTCAAACTCATACCGGTGCAGCGCGTTGTCGTAGACGTAGAGCATGGAAGGGTGGGCTCCGTTTTCGATCAGAAAAGGGATGCGCTCGTTTAGAATCTTAAAGACCTGTAAACCGGAGTCGTGGCCGGCTGCGATGAGGTTGTTTTCAGGCTCGATCGCGAGGATCCAATACCGGTCGTTATCGCGTCGGAATACCATCAGTTGTTGATGCTGCTTTGAATCCCACACGCGTATCGTGTGATCTTCGCTGTTTGAGATGATTAGGTCTTTGAAGAAGGCCACACAGCAGACGTTATTCGTGTGGCCGCGCAGCGAGGCCTCGAGGTAGCACGCCGTTCTCGTCAGCTTCCAGATCCCCACCGTTCGATCATCCGACCCCGATATAAAGTACGATTTGGTAGGGTGAAACGCCACCCAGTTCACCCCTCGCTCGTGCTCCTCGAGGACGGACTTCACGATCACATCGTTCGTCTTCAAAAGGTCGTGTGCGAGGGTCGTCTCCTGGCGGTGGCTGCGTAACAACGAGATATCCCACACCCGGATCGTCTTATCCAAACTCGCGGAGACGATGAGGTCCTCCTGCGGGTGAAACTGCGCGCACATCACGAAATGACTATGCCCGGGTAAACACGCCACACTCTTGCGATTTTGCCAATTCCAAATCCGAATCGTGTAGTCATCCGAGCAGGAGACGATCCAGGGTTGCTCGTGGTGAAAGAACGTCGTGCGGACGTAATCAAGGTGCCCGGTGAGGGTGTAAAGGCAACGTCGAAGCTTGTAATTCCACACCTTCACCGTGGCGTCATCCGCGCCCGTTACGAAGATCGGCTGTGAGGAGTGAAAGTCTACCCCACGGACGGATCCGCTGTGCTCGTTGAACGATTCTACGGACATATTCATGCGGTAATCCCATATTTGAACCATCCCATTGTGGAGCCCGCAGAGGATCCAGGAGCGTTGCTTGTGAAAGCTGATCCCCTTCACTCTTGAGGAGCGAACATCGAACTTGGTGAACATTTATGTTTTATTCCTTCCAAGTTTACCTGTCTAGCCGTCAACCACTTTATTTTAATCACCCAAACTAACAACAATGCTAATCAAAAGTCTAGACAATGCACGATAATAATAAACTAAGACAAAAAAATATCTAGCCCTGAATGGAGAGACCATGCAGTTAAGAAAAATAAGGGTAAAAAAATGAAAGAACGTGAAGATCAAGACTAGACGAAGGGAATCATTGACATGAAAATATGGGCCTTTTTTTCAGTTATATATTGGGAATCATGCTTACCTTTCAAGATTGCCGTTTTCTTTTGTTCTTTCCCGAGTTCATGTACTCTTTTATTTCCTCTCATTTTGAGTAAGGCTTATTATGAATAGAAGAAGATCCTTCGTAGCTTGAGTTTAGTACAGCGAAATGTAAGAAAGACCAATTAGATGAAGTTTTACGAGGATCCTCTTTCTCTTTTCTTTGGAGTTTAATACGAGGTTTGTCGGCAGGAAATCCGAAGCGATGCGAGTAGAAGGACAATGAAAGCGATACCAAAGAGGTGATAGATAGATGGGGCAGTAATTCAAACGTTGTGGGAGCTAGAGAAAGGAACATAAACAGAGGGTTCCGTTCGTTCAAAAGGATACCACATTGTTATTCAACCCTTTGGTAGCAGTGGTTCTAAACTAGATTAGCAAGGGACAGACGGCGGATGTTGCGCCCTGGTGCGTGGTGATTAAGGAGAGAACCAAATGCTTAAAAAACTCATAGAAGCAAGCAATGAATACTATCCTCTCTCAGGTAAAGTTTTGGACTATTCGTGCAGTTTATAAGATACCCCACACATGCATTAGATGCAAGGCATCCTTGATCACTAGTAAACTAATTCATCCTTGTCTAGGCATCCCAGCCTTCGAAGGAAACTGAGAGAGAAAGAAAAAAATCACTTCGAAGGCTGATAGCCCAAGTAGAACAAAAGCACGCGTTACGTTGCAATGGGGAAAGCGTTTTCAGAGCTTGTCAGGCTCTAATCCTAGAAATAATAATCAAATGAATAGGCTCGCACCATCAAAGACGTCACTAGGAGAGGTCATACTTGAATGAATTCCTATGTCCAGTACAAGCAATCTCATGAATTTTCATAATTTGGTGTATAAAAGCTAATTAAAGCGTCACGTGAAAAAGCTAGTGGTACATTCATGTATTAAAATGAAATTGGTGCTTTTTAACAGTTACTCGATCCTATTTTATCGTCAATTCAGGTCTAGCAGCACTATTGACTGGGTTATGTTATAATGAATTATTGCTGTCATTCGATTCCTTCCTTGCAGCTACGCTCGAAGCTTAGCAAGGCGATTTCGTTTTTTCTATGACTGCTGCATTATTGTTAGCCGCCTTTCCTTTTTTTTCTTTCCCCATCAGTTTCAGCGCACAGGTAAAACAAAAAAAAAAGAAAACAGTCTCGATTAAAAACCTCGCCGAGGTCTATTACCGGAGCCGCGTCCGCCGCCAAAGCTGCCACGACCTCCGCCAAAATTCCCACGCCCGCCACCCCCACCGCCGAAGCTGCCACGCCCGCCCCCACCTCCGCCAAAGCTCCCACGACCACCACCTCCGAAACTTCCACGACCGCCGCTGAAGCTGCCACGACCACCCCCGCGTCCACCCCCGCCACCTCCCCTTCCCCCGCGCCCGCGCGGCTTCGGCGGGTCGGTGAACATCCGCATCGGCGAGAACTGCGTGGGGGAGATGAAGACCTTATCGCCCTCGTTAATAGAGGCCGGCTGGACGCCCGGGTGGGGTTTCACCGAGAACATCACATCCGTCGTATTCCCCAGGATTTCATCGATCTTGCCGATCTTCGCCTTCTTCTCCGTGTAAACGAAGGCGTTAAAACGGGGAATGGTACCGCTGGTGGTTACCTTGTAGACGAGATCGCCCTCCGCGGCGTTCATGAACACACCGACCTGCTGAATTTGTTCCGGAGGGTCCGGCTCCGCAGAGAATCCGCCACGACCCCGGCCGCCACTAGAGCCCCCTCCACGGGATCCACCAAACCCCTGCCCTCCGCGATTTCCCCCTCCACCACCGCCAAAACCACGAGCCATATTGTTTAGTTTAAGTTTATTTAGAGATGTTATGCTAACTTAAGAAAAAATTAAAGGAGATACTTGCTTAGAAGTAAGTAAACCAGAGTTGGAGACCATCCATAATCCATCCAATAATGTAATGAAAGAGAACATCAGTAGATACAGAAAATAACGTTATGTGATGGCAACCCTTTTTTTTTCTGCTAATAAGTAGATACAAAATATTATCAATATGATGCTTAAGTATACCAGGAGAAGAGCAGTTTAAAATTTTACGACTACTGGTATAGTCTTGTGTATCGTCGGTTTTGAAAAGCCCATACTAAGCAGATGATGCACTTTGCTTAGATCCTCGCGTTTAACCCTTGCAGGGTTTCTTCACAGGGATTCCCTATTCGAGTGACTGAATGCAGAAAGTTCTAAAAAAAAAGCGTATTCGAATTTTATCATTGGAAGGATGGATGCACCTTCCCACTTCCAAACCTGCAGTTTGTTTGGTATGTTTCCCTCCTTTGATTTTTTTGGATGTGCGTTTTACCCAATCGCAATGCCAGGCTACACTTGTCGTCCAGTGTTTAGCGCAGGTCCTACGATTGCCCTTTCGAATGCGGGAAGCTCACAGCTGTTGAGGAGCATTGATAGGGTGAGGAATACCCTAGGGTTGACTTTCCAAGTTATGAACTAGTTCGATTACGCCTATAACTGACGGTGAAAAAATTCCAAGTCTTTATGCCACCGTTGAGGGGAAGTCCATCGTGGTGATAGGGAGACTTGGCTGAAAAGGCGTTCCTCAGCCCTTTGTTTTGAATCTCTAAAGAAAATAGAAAAGGGTTAAAAAGTACGTTTGATTCACTACATCTCGCAGCTACATGAATAGAATGTGCCCGTGATCGGGCCCCATTTGCGGTATTATACAACATAGGTACAAACAAGACATTACAATTGGTATTTAGATAATCAATCTAAATCTAAAAGGAAGTGCAATGCGTGGTGAATTAACAAAAAAAACGCAGCATCAAAGGTGTCCAAGAAGGCGCCAAAGGAGGAACGTGAACAGTTCATATGTATATTTTTACAATATTCCCTCCAAATTGAGGAAGTGAAGTGGGATCGAATAAATCATCAGAGAAAGGAGTTGAGAGAAACCAAAGTGGATATAAATTTTTTACACACATAAAGCTGTTGGTATTTTTTTTCCCTCTCCAACGAAAAAAAGAATAAAAGCCTCGAAATTATTGAGAATAGATAGCCTCATGCTGAAATGGGACTTTTCCATTTACAGAAGTCATCAATCGCGCTCGAACGCTGGCCTAAATCGGTGGTATGGTTATTGTTATCCTTACCCTGCTGCTTGCTATTTAAGAAGAAAACAGCTGTCTGTCCCCACAGGTCTCTTGAAATTTCATACTTATACTCCTCAAGGATCCATCCATTCCATCTATCCACAAGATCTTTCTTCTGCACGAAGAAAACCTTCCACGCCTGAACGGCTCTCACCGCGGGCATTCGACGATTATTTTCACCACGAATGAAATCATAAAGGAAGTTGTACATTGAATAGAACTCCTCCTCACGTTCCTGGACGATGCGCACAGATTCGTTAAGATAGTCTTTTAGCTGAGATAACATCAACACGCCGCAGTTATAAATGAGGGAAAGCCATTCATTTCGGCTCACACAACCATCTCGAACCGCACGCAGACGCCACATCAAAACAAACATTTCAAGTGAATTCGGCCTAATAGAGAGCTCGCTACAGAGCTGTTCAATTCCCCTGGAGTAAATGACATCGGGGCTGTCACCTTTGTCGAGCTTTTTCAGTTTGTCGAACAACAACTCCATTTCCGTTCGACTACCGCGCGAAAAGTTAGCGCTCGATCCGCTCGTAGCGATTGTTAGCGTTTGAGGCGTTTTAATCGAGGGAGTAATATTGGCCAAATTTTTAGAGCTTCGCTGCGTCTCAGACGTTTTCAATATCGAAGGTCGCACAAGCTTCTTACTCATTTTTATCGGTTTTTAATTACACTGCAGTTTTTATATATAATAAGGACGTCCTTAGTCGACGTTTGTGGATAAAAGTAATGCCAAATGTTCTTTGCCACCTCAAGCGAAGCAATACACGACTAAATTAAAAACGCTGAGTCGGGTAAATAGATGGCAGAAATCCTTTCGTAAAATAATGTGATTATCTTTGTACGTAAATTGAAATCAGGGTAATAAACAAGGTAACTCGAAAAAGTTATCATTTCCTGAATGAAAATCTTCAAACATATTTGTTTAATATATATATATAAATATAAAGTTCAACATATTCTAGTTGCTTGTTAGTGTATGCGAAGAAAAGCAAAGCCAGATCGTGTGCTCCTCCCCCCCCCCCCTCCCGAAAAAAAAAGTCCACCGTATGGCTAGTTTGTTTTTTGAAGGATACACAATCTCCATATGGGAGAAGCGACAAAACCTTAATTGAGTAGACTAGGATACCCTTGTGAATGGCATAATCCTTATTCTTTGCAACATTGCTCATGGAAAGTTGTTTTTTTTCTCCCTTTTGTGTACCTACCAAAAACGTCCCACCGCTGCGACCTTCAATGAAGCCTGTTTCTCACTTCGAAATTACTAACCTTCGCTGATTGTAATACCATTCACGTCAATAAGCACATCAAGAAGGGACTTTAATTCGAGAAGGGTATCGCGTGTTAACGTATTGGAATCGCTCTGGAAGATAATAAACTCTTGGATAATTACTACGATAACTGTCATTGGGTTGTGCTCGCATTTCTTGCCAATTGAAACGCCCTCCGAAGCTCGAGTTAGCGCTGCGATGACGTAGCTGCGTAGGGACCTCTCCTCCAATTCTAGACACGAAAGAAACGCTAAAAAGATCGCATAATACCCACTTAACACAGCATCCGCCGTGCTCTCATTGTAATACCGGGTGATCATGGCGGATGCGGCGGCGTAATATAGCTCCTCTTCGTTCACTAGCTCTAGGGAAAAGCTTGGTGGTTTAATCGCGTTTTTTACCTCCCATTTGATAATATTGATTGCACAACATAGGCAGAAACTAATAATCTCTTCTTCACAGCTGCTGTGAAGCAAGACGCACTGAAAATAAGCGGCGAGGTGAAGGCGCTGTGCTGTCGAAATAACGTCTGGCTGCACGCTAGTGATATTTGTCAAAATACGCAATACGGGAACCCACTCAGCGTCTCCAAGCTTTACTGAGCTATTTTCAGTTTCTGTAAGGGCCTGTGAGAGCAATTCAGCGATATGAGGCAATCCCTCGTATTCGCTATGTGAAGAAGAGGCTGTTATTACCTCCAGAAATGCTAAAAGGCCGATCAGATCCTTCGCACCATGTTGTAGATACTCCCCAAGAAGGCAAAGTCCCCCCTTTGAGGAAAAGTACGAGGAAACACAAAAATCTGAGCCGACTGACGTATCATCCGTTGCGTGTTGGTTTTGGGAGAAAATAAGAGATAGAAGAATACGCAAACAGACCGAGGATCGAGTGGATGGCGCGGGTGGTAGCAGTTGATCTAATATTTCAGACAAGGCCGCCACCTCGAGATCACTCGATTTCGATTCGGGCGTATTCGACTTTCTTTTTTTCGAAGGGCGTTCAGACCAGTGCAGGCAAGCCCTTCGCTCCACTTGAGTTTCTACCCCCGATTGAAACGACGACGACGTACTCACACCATCTTCGATAGCTTCCTTCAATTCCAGAAGCAAACGATCCACAACATACTCCTTGCACAACAATTCACAGTTGCTATGCTTTACAATCGCCTCAATAAATCGAATGCATCCTTGTTGAGCGCACGAGTTTTCCCGAATATGAATAGCAAATATGTCCAAATAGAAAGCCTCCAACGCGTTGGTGCGTTTAAGTGCAAAAAGCATTGCATCGACCCCCGTCTTTGCCGTGAAGTCGATAAACTCCTTGAGGCTATGGACCGAAGGACGTTTCACAAGAGTTTTGGCGTAAAACGAAGCCAAATCCGCAATTTCCTCGTCTCGACGATGGAGTAGATCGATTTCGATTGCACCCAGGCAAATGGATTTCGTATGGCATTCATTAGGGCTTGATTCTGAACACCTGCCGTCAATGGCATTGCCTAAACTTGGAGAGCCGCACGAGGGGGTGGAACTTTCTTCCTTGATGCCGTCATCGCTGGGCGATGCCGGACTACTATGAGGCTCATAGATAGGCGGCATCTCACGAAGCTCGTCGATGCTCGCAAGAAAATCGGAAAGATTTCGTTTACGGTTAGATTTGAGACTCATCTTTCTTCAATATGATTTGAAATTATACTAGTAATAGGATATGTATCTTTCCATACATACACCTCTGTCCTTCGCCCACCTCAAAAAAGAGTGAAGCCAAACGCTAGAAAAGTAAACATAAATAAAAAGAGAGTGAGAGAACACCGCTACTCAACCATCACAAGGCCCCTGATAGACTTTTTCTTGAGATAATAGAATGGAGAAGCCTCAAAAGACGTGCTCATTGTCATTACTGATGTTATCCTGACGGGTAAAGTTCTATCGTTTTTTTTTATGATTTTTTTAAGGATAGTTCGGGACGTTGGCCCCTTAATATGCAATCATATAACGTATTAAGATTTTCATCAGTGACTTCAACTATAGACGTTCCTTTTTGAGAGGTTGCCTTGCCACCACACCCGATAATGATCTCTTGAACCGTGCTCCGTTGTTTAACAGACAGCCCACCAAGGTTAAATTCAAGGCCTTTCAAAATAGGGATCTCGCGCTTTCGAAGTATGGCGTTTCGCAACGTATCCGAGCTATAATACACGTCTAGGTGGCTGAGATCCACGATGTATTTCTGAATTTCACCATCCCTGAGGCCCTCCTCGAGGTGTTTGATATCGATGATCGGGATTCCACGCCCGACGGCGATAATGAATTTGGGCGTTCGCGTAGCCGGTGCCGGTACGATCAGCAGATTCGCCTTTGTAATATCCTCCACAATTCGACCATGATGCTTTTTTAGCGCCTGCTGTGCAACCCCGCGCTGCTTCGAGTTCATTCCCGATACACAGCCAAGAAAGACTCCTTTCTTCCCTTCCGATTCTCTTTCTGTGGGCGTGCTAGACTTCACGCGTTTCGGGCTCACTTTCTTTTCGTCAGCTACGAGAGAACGGGCTCGTTTTCGGGTTTGAGCGTCACGCTCTGCGGACGGATTCGGTTTGGTGGACTTTGGGGTTTCGCTTTGGGCGTTCGGGGGCTTTGCCAGGTAAGGCACCTCCCGTGGCGACCGCGCGTGGGGAGAACTTGGTTTACTCTGTTTTTCGTTTGAAAGGACGACAGGGGCAGTGCGGAGGTGCCCGTTTGAGGAAGTCTCCGCGTTTCCAGTCACTGGCGCTGAGATCTCGCCCGCAGAACCCCGATTACCCGTGAGCCTCTTCGCCTCTTCCGTGATCACAGGAGCCGCGGCCGCCGGAGAGGGCTTGGAATCCTCCCCGAGCAAGACAAACCTGCGCTCGACATCCGCGAAGGTGATCACCGCGTTTGGGCTCAGCTGGTAGTAATGCTGGGGCTCCAGACGAATCCCCATCCCTCCACGAATCGCCAGAAACGTTCCATTCGTGCTGTTGCAATCGCAGATCCACGCCTCACCGTTGGGTGCGATTTCTATAAATGCCTGCATGCGACTAATTGCCGATCTGTGGGAATCGATGCTGATGAAGGATACCCCTTCCACCGGTGCAGAGCTCCGTCCGATAACATTTTTGCCAATCTTCAAAATATCACAGTGGGTTTCATCTTTCAGCACGTACGTGCAGTTATGGTGATCATTCATTGGCTTTATGATTAGGCTTTTTATAGGGTTCTCCTCCCCCCCTTCTTTGACCGATTGTCGTTAATTGTATCGGTCGTTAGTAATCAGTATCATCTTAATTTATGTAGGGTTAATATTAGTTAGTTGAAGGGAGTGAAAAAGATTATAAAAAGCAAATAAGAAACACTTCTTCAGCGACATGTCGTCGCGCATTTTTTGATTGTTCAATTGTATTCAACTTCTCGTATTTATGTCGCAAGACAGCAAACATATATGTATATGCTAATAAATATATCATGATCATCTGCCGTGATAAAATACGCCTTCCCTTCGACTATAACATTTCCCTCTTTCTTTTTTTTTTTTTGAAATATTATTGATCAGTAGCCAACGCCACGCTTGCTGGGCGTTTCACAAGAATCCCAAGGGTTCCGCCCTGCCCGTCTGATACCGTTGTCGCCGTGTAAACAACCTCTTCCATCGTCATGCTAACGCGTTTAAACGACTCGCCAGGTTCCAAAAGATGCGCGCATTTCTGAATGATCGCATGTGCCAGACGTTGCTTCATCGGGTTGTCAAAGTCACCGCCGTGCTCTAAAACGGTCCCTATAGGAGAAAGAATCACAAAGTGATTCGCTCCCTGACTGAGTAACTGATCTTTCACCAAGGCAGCTTGATTCATCGTGAAGAAACTAGAACTATAAGAAAAAATGTAAAAAAAAAAAGAGGTAGGTAAAGCCTAAATGAGGATAGAAGAAGAGTAAATATTCAAAAATTCTTTCTATTACTAGAATACCGCTAACGAATGTTTTGAAAGCGTATCTGTTGTAATTTCTGAATGTATTTTCTTCCCTTCTGTTCACTACGGATCTCCTTTGTGTTTAAGCGGGGTTGGCAATACCTCACCTAAAATGCGTCCCTCACGTTCTACTAGTAGTGCTTCTTGGGCGTTTTTCTCATCTTGGGTTTTTTCTGAAATTGAACGTGCACCTGCTCTTCAAAACTCAGCTCCTCCAGCACCATCGGTTTTGGACGGTTCCTCCAGTGGGGTCCCATAAAATGCTGCCGATCCGTTAACTCCTTATGCTTCGCCACCGCCTCCGGATCCATGTTTCCAATTCCCCAGTTCGTCATGGGCACGAAATCCCGTTTCCCACTCCCATGGCTCGACGCATCCGGGCTTTTCTTAGCTTCACGTCGATGAATTAACCGCTGGTGATTTTCCATCGGATTCACCACCCCCCAATCGTACCGCGTGCTCGCGTCGGTTATCAAACGCTGCCGTGATTTTGTATGGCATAATCGTCCATACGCGATTCGATCCAAACAGCTCGCAATCTGAACTTGAAGGGAATAGCCACCATCTCCACGATGCTCGAGCCACTTCGTCCGGATTTCGTTCAGCGTGTGTTCCTGTATGAGCTTATCTTTGATAAGAAAGGCCAGTGCTAAACATTCCTTGTAAAGGCCAAGCTTCGCGACTCGATTATGAATGTCCTTCCCCTTGGCGAGGGGAAGTGTTGCTAGTGCGCTTTTGTTCATATGAGTAAAGCTTATGTAGTCCCTTTTCCCCTTTTGGTATTCATGCTCTATGGTATCATCGTGATCAGAGAAAACGAGGAGTGAGAAGTTCAAACCTTACAATGCTTTTATCACTACTACCACGGGTTGGATAAATTATCTAACACCTCTTCAGAAGATTATCCGCTCGGAACAGCAGAAAGGGAATCCCCATATATATATATATATATTTATGTCTATGAAATCGGATGAACATAATTTCGATTTATTCTATTATCTATAATGATTCCTAAACCATCTCTAAGCGTGCGATGAACAATGCCATTTGAATACGGAACCTCTTCCCCCCGGAAAGACACCGTACGGGAAGAAGCATCTATTGTTTTGCTTTGAAGAAGGAAAGCAAGTTTCGACTGCTCGGTGCACTTTCCTTGACAACTTGTTTTGATACCGACGGCCGGGCGGTCGACTTGCTCGCCACCCGCGCGGCGGAGGGCGATTGCACGACCGCGGCGCCGTCGTCGTCGACTTTACCACGTGGCGCCTCCGGGGAAGGGGGTTTCGCCATCAGCTCCACACTCCGTTGATGATATTCCTCCTCCGTGAGAAGGGTATCGTCGGCGAGTGAGCGATAATAAGGGACGTCCACGCAAATGTACTCGTCGTCTACGAGCTTCGTATCGGTGCGGAGTTCACGCACGTATCCTTTCTGAAACTTCACCACCTCGGGGTTGAAGAAAACGCTCAGCGTCGATTGGGAGGTGTTGATAGTTGCCTGAGAAGCACCACTCCCCCCTTTCGCGGCAGGGGGAGGGGAGGTGTCCAACGCGGGAAGGGGTTGCGGCGCCATAAACGCTAAAGGCGCGGCATCATCGCAGACGATAATATCGTCATTCACCGCGCTCACCGCGACATCCAGGCAGAGGGTCTCTTCTTGCATAAATTCCGCCTCGGGGGGGAGGGGTTGCTCGAGGGAGGCCTCGCCAAAACAGCTCTCCTCATCCGGAAGCGCCTCTTCATCGTCAAGGACGTTCGCCGGGGCTCGGAGGACCGGTCCGCCATGCCCGGAGGCGCTTGATTTGCCCTTCGCGGAGGCCTTCGCCAACTTCGCGAGGCTCTTCGTGGTGGGCGGGGGGTCTTTTTTCTCGATTTTGGCCTTTTTGGAGGCCTTCCCGGGTGGGTTCCCCGCCGACCCCGGCGCTTTCACGCGTTTCGTTGAATTCTTCATCATCAAGTCGAGCAGGGAGCCCGGAGGGGGCGCCCCGGGGGCGGGGGGGGCGCGCTCGGCCG